TGCCTACTAGTAGGCAGAGAAACAAGATTGAAACATGTACAACATATTAATCAAAAAATAACAAAGAAAGGACTTATACATACAGAATGCACTAGGTAAGCATCCATGATACTTGAATCTTCTTCCTGACCTTTGAGATAAAATGGCTTCTTGTTATGGTGCATTATATCTTGATAGCTGTTGCCTGGAGAAAACATGAAACAGTATAAGAGACAAAATTAAGCAGATCACCCGTAGTTATGTGAAAAGGAAGTAACTGGTCCTGGAATCTGGATGAAAATAAATAATTCAAAATGGAAGCATTGAAAATGTGACTACAAAGTTTTTCTTCCAAGTGATAAGAGCAGTTGGAAGATTCCAAGAATAGTAAAAGCTTTTTTAACAGTTTCAGTACAAACTAACAGGAGTGGAACAAATAAAAGATGTTCAGAACTCGTGAGAGGCAAAATTGATACTCACAAATGGAGAACATTCATCAGTGCTAATCATAAGATAGAAAGCTTCCAAAACTGACAGGTGGGAGGTTAACACAAATGAGCTTTGCCAACTATTTTAGAGGCATTGTCAATCAGCAAAAACAATCCTATTCAAAAGCTTTGACTCATGTACCAAGGAGATGCAGACAATAATTGTTAATGCAGAACGTTAGGGTAAGTTGTTTGAGGTAATGTAATATCCTTCTTAATACTTCTGAAATGCAGTGGGTAACTACAGCCAGTGCTGGACATTGAGTTGCTGGGAGAAAAACAATCTTGAATACTTGCATCACACTGTCTCACAAGAGTAGCTAAGGTAGAACCAAAAACGAGATCCTTCACAGGCTTTAAAAATCCTATCTAGACATCAGAGAGACTACTATCCCTTCTAACGTTAGCAGTCAGCAATCCATCTGTGCATTCACAAGTGTTAAATGGACCTTTTCAATATGTTAGTGAAGTTGAAATCAGAATAATTGTTCTGTATTTCTTGATGATAATCAAAGCCCAATTACAACCCATTTAAACCATACAAGATGAAGAGTAAAAGGAAAAAACCATTCTGCTAAGTTAGGAAACAAATCATCGTACAAATGATCCTAAAATCACAATCTCCAATTAACAACAATACCAAGATAATTACAGACACCTGCTCGACATATAATATAGTGAAGATGTGAAATCAACAAAAATCCCATAAATTGTAAAAGGTTGAAGTCATTCAATAGATATATACTACAACCAAGTAAGCGCCTGCTTGAACGCCATTTTTTTGGAAAGAATGCATTTTGGAATATTATATTGATGGGGAATGTGTGGTTAAAAAATAAAAAAAGTATTGGATTTGCGTGTTATATTATTTTATTG